TCAAACAGAAAATGCCCCAGACATGCACAGGCCAATCGGATGGAGGCAAATCTTTAACTGAGGTTCTGTCTTCCTAGGTGTCGATAGTTAATGTCAAGTTGATTAAAAACTAACCAGCATATTATTTTGTGCTAATCACTTCCACATTTGTAATTGCTTCAAAGTCCTCAAATTGGATTAGTTTATTGTATCTCAATTAAACTGAAAGCCCATGTGTAGGATAGATTTCAGAAATAATAGGATCTTCTATCCAGTGTGTTACAAAGCCTAGTTCCTGCCGTCACTCTGCTCTGTAATCTTGTTAGTTTTATAATCCAGCGTTCATATGAGAGCATACGGAGATCCCTGCTCTCCCCCTTGCCGGATCACGAGGGTTCCAACTTCAGGTTTAAGGAGTATTCACGACTTCTCTTGGCTCTGGAGCACACACCCTGCATTAGACTCGAGAAGGTCTGTCTCTTTCATCTGCATAGATCTGCAGTTAAAATGCACCTCTTCCAAGAAGGAAATTGACGCCGGCCCTTCAGAGGAAGCAGCGAGCTCAAAGAGCGAGTAACTAGAAGGTGGAAGCGTGTCTGCTTTCTTTTTTGAAAAGTCTTCCCGGGGCTAGCACCCGGAGCTAGCAACGGAGCTCACCAACGCGTCACGTGTGTGCAGCAGCTGCGGGATTGGAGGAGCGCATTTTAGCGCTGCGGTCTAGGCACGGGCGGTCCCGCCCAGCTGCCAGACGAGCGGGGTAGCGGAGAGAAGAAGCCACCAGAAGACCGTGGAGGGGAGGGGCGGGAGGGGGGTGGGGCAGCCTTAGCCACCCACGGCCTGGAGCCTGGGAACACAAGAGGCGACGCCAGGCTCTCCGCCTCATCACAACTTGCCCAGACAAGACACGCTGTATCTTGCACCCTGGAAGAAGGAGCCGGCCTGCCTCTCCCTGCTCGGTCGCCCCGCCTCTGCGCCAGCAGCAATCCCGGGATCTGGGGCCCTGGTGACGCCCCGTGGCTTGGAGCGCCCGGCTTTCGCCCAGGAGCGCGCAGCTGGGGTGAGCCGAGGCCTGGGATGCTCCAGGCTCCCGCCTGCTTGTAGGACACAGAGCATCTCGCATCTCTGCGGGCCAAGTCGGGCCTTCTTCTCTGCTCTGCCCGCTGAGATCCGCAACGCTGCAGATCCGCGGCGGCCCACAACCATGCTTTGCTTTCTAGGACTCGGCTTCCCGAACCTTTTGTCTTTTCGGGTTCCTCAGGCCTGCCGCACAGTGCGGTGTGCCCACAACAGTAGTCGCGGCCGCACAGGGCTGGGACCCGAGCCTGGGGTGGGGAGCAGGGGGCACAGGAAAGTGAGCCCCCTGCCTTCCTGTTCCGGCCATCTTGTGGTCGAGATTTGACCTAGGGGGTAAGGATGGCTAACCGCAGACGCCCTAAGCTCCTGTGGGGACCGCCCAGACCGTAGCTGGGGCCTGCGCGACCTTACTGGGTATGCAGGGGGAGCGCGCGAGCCTCTCTGTTCGGCTAGCGGGTCTTTGGGAAAGAACAAGGGTTCACCCCTTAAAGGCCAAAGGCAAAGAAAATGCGAGGGATGTGGCCTGGGGCCATTATCTCTTTAACCGAGCACCTAACTTTCTCAGCCGTTTTTTGTTGTTTGTTTTTTTTTCCTGCTTTTTTGTTTGTTTCTTAAATCCTAGCACATTGCTTCTTTCCCTTGCTGCACTAGGTACTGGAAATAGAGCGGTGAGCAACACACCTCTCCTGTTCCCGCTGTTCCCGCCAGCCCAGTGGATGGAGCCCAGAATCCACACTCCTGCCAGGTCGGTAGCCCGGAGCATCAGCAGATGGGGAAACGGAGGAACATGGTCCACAGATGTGCTCTGGGTCAGGCACCGCGTACATGGAATAATCGATCTTTTAAACTGTCTGTGTGCTTAGGGTTCTTATGGTAGGCTGCAGTAAAGTCTGTTTTTCCGCACAGCCCCAGACTCTTGAGAATGCATGGCTTATATGAAGTGTCTGTTTTATTTCCCGCACACTTTCCTGTGGATTTACTTAACACTATTCGGAAAGTGCTCAGAATTGCTGGCTGCAACTTATCTTCAAGTTAGTTACTGTGAATTGTATTTTCTTTTCTTCTGTTCACGTATTTGGTTGTTAGGAAAGAAAAAAAAATTCCTGATGGTTGGTCCAAGCAGGGCCTCCCTGGTGGATTGAGGAATGCCTGGCTTTTCCTCAGCTCCTTGATCTCCGAGGTAACCACTGGCAGCCTCCAGAAGACCCCCACGATGAGAGGCCTGGGGTCTGCAGGTCACTGCTAGAATATTTTAAAGAATGCAGCACGACACAGATTTGTAAGGTAAATACTGTAGTCCAGGTAGTTACCTTGGTAGAACACTGACGGTTGGAATTCCCATCCATTTTTCACTTCAGCATTTTGAGAAATGCTTTCGGAATGACGGACTGTTGCATATATTGGGCTAGTTGTTTGATCTGTATTTTGACAAGACGTCGAAGTTAAGCTGCCAATCCACAGAGGAGGAACAGCCCCTTTAAAACAGTATGCTGAAAGAAAGACTAGTTTTTAAAGGGCCGATAAGTTTAACTCTACTGTGGTGTAACATAAAATACACACTCTTAATTTTAAACGTACAATTCCGCTAAAATTGGCAAACATATGTATATATCTAGATAATTAACACCGTAGTCAGCATGCAGAACGTGCTGCCCCAGATTTTTCTCCTGTCCTTAGGCTCTCAGTTAACTTTATACTTCTGTTGCTACACGTTTCCCAGAAGTGTGGAACAGATAAAGACGAATGTGTATTTCTAATCTCAAACCCTAACGCTGGCAAAGGGATAGATAGCTAGAAGACCACGGCTAGGACTGAAGATTCTGGAGACATGACCCCACGCATGTTTCCGAGGCTTCCCAGGACCTGTCCTTTGAGACGTGGG